ATCATTCGCTTACGATGAAACTAAGTTGACTTTTATTTGTATTTCATAACCATCAACAAATTTATTTTGTGTACATTATTATAATCACTACTGAGTACAGTAATAATCAACAATTCAGAAACGCAGCATGCCGAGATTTTGTGTTCGTTTTTATTTCAAACTTCGTTTATTTAGAATATATTTTCGTTACCAATAAAATAAAAATCTCTCAGTCAATCAGAAACCCGGATTCATGCCTTCGAGGAGGTCCCGTTTGAACGCTCACATCGTTTTTTTTTTTCGTTTGTGGGAAAACTAAAACTGGTCGCAATTTTCGAATAAGAATGAGTCGGCAATTTTTAGTGGAATCGAAAATTTGGAGGTAAATAAAACACCGAAACCCGGCAAATAAATAGGCGATCGAATTTTTAGAGGGGTCGAAATTTTGGAGTTTTCACGGTACTAATTATTCCATTTCAATGAAACTTAGTATAAAGATGCTCTAGGACAATGTACAAACCTAATTAGTTTGGGGTAAAAATCTGTTCATATTAATTCCCTAATAAGCATAATAATTCATAATTTTTTGGTTCTAATCACATTTCAATTAAACTTGGAGACATAGATTTTCTGTTACATTGCGCAGACCTCATTAGTTTTACACTCAAATCTGGTCATATTAATTTTCTGATTTGCATAATTAGTTTTCAGCTAAGTAATTTCGAATTATATTTAATGTGTCTCCAATACTCTCAGCACATGGGAGTTCTTTCTAAGCTTTCTTTGATTTAGTTTTGAAATGGATGCCATTCAGCCATCTTCAATTGGATCATGAAACAAATGAACATGCATATGTATGATGTATGTGTCATGTTTGAATGTAATTGGTTTAGGTATGTCCCCGAGTGCGGAAGGATGCATGAACACGTGCACACACAGAGGAACAATTTTGAGTCTCTTCTTTCAGACTTCTGTCAAGCAGGAACTAATAAAACATTTCAAAATTGTTAACAAAATTGTTTCAAAACTGTTAACAACACATTACCTGTAAGCTGTTAATTCCTGGACAGTAATAGCTCGTTTGTCCTTTGTTCCAGCAAAACTGAACAAATGTGATGGTTTCCTGGAAAAAAATTCACTTATTACAGTTAAGTCGTAAGCTTTTGACAAGTGCAAGTGGTGAAGTTAACAGTGGTGAAGATAAGTTTCAATTGGCAACAGAAAAACTAAATAACCACATTTTAATGGTAAAAAAAGCTGAAAATAATTCTAACATTCAAGTAATTATAAGAAGAATGGTAAAGAATATGATTACAAAAGCAAATACTATGAAAAAATGATTACCAAATTACCAAGGATTTATACAAGGGTAGGGTGAAAAATCTTGTTAAATTTGAGGTAATCACAAATCTTAAGATAAATTTACATTCCTATGAAAGTTTTAATCTCTGTATGTTTTCTCTGGTACCTCGAATATTTGCAAAATAGGTATTACCGTATGTGTGCTTTGATAAATAGATTGATAACTTTGGTATTTTTTCTGTTTACACAAACTTTTTCCAAGTGTCCACTGTGTTCTGTGACGCTATTGGTTAAAACAGCGTTTGGCATATTCTCGCTCAGATGCAGTGGCAACACAAGAAATTTTTTGAAAGATTGTTAGATAACAAATCAGGTGCCACTGTGCACCATGAATCAAAAAATTATTTACATCAAATTTTGCCATTCTTCAAATTGTAGATCAGGAGAAAAATTCTGTGACTTGAGACTTGCACCTAAAATACTGAAGACTCATTCAAAACAGAATCTACATATAAATGCTTGGTAATTTTTAGTTATTCGCAAAAATTTCTAATCCAGAAATCATGCTACTGTTTACACATATTGCTTGATACATCAATGGCTACTAAATATATTAGATAATACAGACTAGCCATCTCCAGAAGTAGATCTATGTTTAGGCTTACAAACGCCCCACCCCAGTTCAGCCACAGTATCTAACCAAATAGAACTTAATAAACATCCAATAAATGTAAATCCCCCTACCCCAAAGAAAAATGTTTACCTGAGTAATTTAGATATTAAATTAATAGCATCCATCGTGTCTTTATTTTCTTTATACAGTACAAAACAACAATAATTTGGACAATCTTTAGGCCATCCACCTCTGTTTTGGGACTTCCTTCCTACAAATGAAATTCCCAACATATCTATTTCCATAACAGTGTTAGATTTCAATAAATCCACAAAGCACAACAGAATAAATTATTCAGTGTTTTCAACATGAACACAAACAATTAAATGACAGATTTGACAGAAACCTTGAATTATTTTTGCAAGGACAATATTCTGAGGGCAATGAAATAATCACAACAGTTCGACATGGATAGAATTTTTACAACAATCTCAGCAGTATTGAGGCAGCAAATTTTCACAGATTCGCTGACAACTTTGGTTTTGAGTGGAACGCTTAAAATTATCAATCACTGATCTCTATAAACAAAAATGCTGTAAATAAGTTTATGAGATATTACAGAAACTGATGAGTCTCCAAAATTGTTGGTAGGCCATACAATTCAAAACCAAAGTTGTCAGTGAATTAGTGAGTAAGTTTGCTAACTTGTTGCCCCAATAATTCTGAGACTTGCTGTAACAGCATGTCAAAACATTTCCGTTGTCAGAACTGGCTCATTATATTCAGTGTTGAATGGCAGTACCAAATGTGCCTCTCTTTGATGTGCCACTGATGTACATAGACACACTGTGTAGCTTCATTTTACATAAAATGTTTCGCAATAAATTATACATGGAACAGCAGTGCGCCCTCTATGTGCAGTGTGCAGCAGGACCGTTTTATAGGAATCTTGAATCGACTTGGAATGTCAAAAAATCAAGTTGGGCCAGCTTGTCAACTGCTGGGGAGAAAGGTCTTCAAGAAAAAATATCAAAATTGTATGTGCCAGTAGATGAATGGAGGTGCAAACAAAATTGTTTTTCGTTTTCAAATTTCTCATATCTCTTTTGAGCCAATGTCATGCCATGAAACTTGTGTGCGTCAATGCCAAGTAATATTGACTTAAATGGCACACTCTCCAACCGTGTCATTCACTAAATTTCATCAATTTATCAATTAAACTCAAAACACAAAATTGAGTCCTTTATTGAAGCTACTGAATACCAGTACTTAGCTGGAAATTATCCAATTGGTGAATAGATATCACTGAGAATGACTGAATGAAAAACAGAACGTGTATAGAAAACATCAATAGGAATTTGCCTTTACTGTTATCTTTACATGTGACCTTAATAACTCGTTCACCGTCTACATCCGTAGTTTCACTGACCAAACCTGGATACACTTGTCTTATACTCTGGTGTATCTTTGTTCTCCTGTCTTTACTGTCTTCAGATAGCTGAGTAAAAAAAAACAACATTATAGTGGAGGATATGGTAAGATAGAAGTCAATATAGTGAATTAAAGGGGGCAGTATTTTGTTAGTGAGAAATATATGGCAAGATAGAGGACAATACAGTGAGATGAAGAGGGCAGTATATTGTTAGTGAGAAATATGGCAAGATAGAGGGCAATACCGTGAGATGAAGAGGGCAGTATTGTGTTAGTGAGAAATATGGCAAGGGTGCAATAAAGTGAGATAAAGAGGGCAGTACTGTGTTAGTGAGAAATATGGCAAGATAGAGGGCAATACAGTGAGATAAAGAGGGCAGTATTGTGTTAGTGAGAAATATGGCAAGATAGAGGGCAATACAGTGAGATAAAGAGGGCAGTATTGTGTTAGTGAGAAATATGGCAAGATAGAGGGCAATACAGTGAGATAAAGAGGGCAGTATTGTGTTAGTGAGAAATATGGCAAGATAGAGGGCAATAGGATGATATATAATATGAAAAGATGAAGGGCAATATTAGAATAAGAGGACAAAATATTGTGATAAAGAGGGCAATATGTTGAGAAAGTAGGCAAGATATAGTCATAACTGGTAATATGGCAGGATAGATGGAAATATGGCGAGATAAAAGGAAATGAGATATAGAGAGGCAACATGCATGGAGTGACAAGGCTATAGTGAGACAAGGAACAAAATACTGAGATAAAGGGGAAATATAGCATGTGAGAGAGCATTATGGCAAGATAGAAGGCAACATAATGACACACAGCACCAAATCAATTATCTTTAGAGCATTTTCTGTAAGCACAAGGGCCTATATGATCTGAAGAGTACATAGGGTCGTAGCACACAAAGACTGCATCGCATAAATTAGAATGCATTAAAACAGACAATCTCAATGTATATGCTCATACAATACATAACTGTCATTTGAGTTTGTGAATAGTTTAACAAACAAACTAACCTTTATTATGACATCTTTAGATTTGTCTTTTGATTCAAGTAACTCTTGTAACATTTGTTTGTCGGTATCTTGTAAGTAATCCTCATCTGGTTCATTTGAAACCTGCAACATAAATCAATCCTTTGAGTTGTGACAAGAATATGCAAATGTGTCTTATAATGAGTATGATGTTTGATCCATAGATTCAGGCACATGGCAGAAATACAAGGCTCTTCCATACGTCAAGTTCAAACTACATTCATCCATGCATGCCAAAGACTGGTCCTAAGAATGTCTAAAAAATACATTCTTACAATCTCAATGGCCACAATTAACAAACAAACATACTTTACAAGTCCTGCCAATAACACAAACAAATCACATGTATTTTGTATGATTTATGGAATATTACTTTTGTGACTTGTCTCCATTTTTCGAATAGTTTGCTTGCCTTCAATATTTTACAGTTTATAATTCAGTATATTTTATTAGCATTTAATTGCTAGGAAAGTACTCTGTCTTTTTTAAAAACAGTCCCTAGCTTTTTATACTAGTTTCTTTTTTCTCAACCAACAATGTTTGCTAGGAAAGTACGCTTTGCTTCAAACAGTCCTTGTTAAATAATTCTTTGTTCTTTGTTTTTCAAATGCATGATCCAAGTGGGAAGTACAACTTTCCCCTCACTATTTAAAAATGGGACATTGTTTTTTGTACAGCACTCGATTTCAACTAGATTAGCTGTGTGGACGAATGAGCTAAACAGGTGGTTTGTCGTTGAATGCAACTTTACTATGATACATATGTGAATCAGGTGTCATTTCTGCAGGTCATTGTTTTCTATGCACAATGTTTCATAACACACCAACAAAAAAACAATGGGGCTGCAAAAAAAACTAAAATTTCCAGTATTACTTGTTAAATTTCAGCAACTCGGACACTATTAAACAGTAATTAATCAATTAATTAATTAGGGTCTGGGTTCTAGTAAACATCTGAGGCCAGTAAAATCTCAACCCCAAACAAGCTGCTAATTATCATTGCGTAAATATAACTGCAAACACTGATCAGGGTGACTATGTGGCTATGGTATAACAATTTAAATATTTAATGATATTATAACTATATATGATGCATATCATTGAGGTCACATAGTTGTGTATAGTCATCCGAAGTATTAGTCATAACACTTGTCAATACCATCACCAGTTGCATGTCACTCTCTGTAAGTAATACTTTCGTTATGCATACTAATCAGGTCACATGACCATATATGGTAATCTTGTCCTATGCCTCTAATATAGCACTGAATGTGCATCCCTGACTGTAACAGGGCCTTAGATAATAAAGTTATGTATAATATTTAGGTCACATAAACCTATTTAATCCCAAAGTACCAATGTACCAAGTTTCATTGAAATTTGATGAGTGGTACTCTAAATATCTGAGGAACACCTATATATTGGTTAATTTATGCAAATTAGGTGACTCATTAGCACAAAATTTAACTCTAAACTAAACATGTATATGACTTATCCTAGAGCACCCATGTACCAAGTTTCATTTTTAATCTGATAAGTGATTGAGATATTGGTGGGAAATCTAAAAATTGGCTAATTAATATGCAAAATTAGGTAATCAATATGCACAGATTGAAAACAGAAACTAATCAGATGTGCACATTATACCAGACATCTATGTACAAATTTTCATTGAAATCTGTTAACTGCGAACTTGAGATATCAGTTGAAAAACACACATACAAACACACATACATACACACAGACATAGTAACTGCAAAGACTCCCATTGAGTGCTTTGCGCATGGGAGTCAATAAAGTCTAGTCTTGATTTCAGTTGACTTTTTGATGTGTAAAATGCAATTGTGTGTATGAATTTGAGACATTTGATGTTCTGATTCTGAAGGTGCGTCTGTGACGTAGAGAAAAAGAAGACGTGTGTTAGACGCAATGCAACAATCAATAATTGCACACAATTACCTGTACTGCAAAATCTGTTGGCTTACTTATATCATCAAGTTTCACTAAAACTCCATCTTTACTTCTCTCATAGACCAAAAAATCAGAATATCTGAAAAATATTAATATGTGGAAGTGGCAATGCTTTATACAGATCCCATCACCTGTATAATTCTTAAGGTTGTTTTTTGTATTAGTAGAAATTATGGAGGCCAAGAAAAATTCTACAGTGGCATTCTTGAGAAGAAATAAATTGACTGTATGGTTCAGTTGTTAAGAGATGATGCTCACAAGCAAAAGACATATAAAAAAAACACCCAATAATTTCGCGAGGAATCATAGTGGCTTTTTGTTGTTTAACCTTTTAACCACAAGTCGTTTCATCACAAAATAGTCCTGTTTATATTTTGCACTTTCCTTCAGAAGATTGAATTTAAAAGCCAAATTTTTTGAGTAAAAACTGAAAGTTGACTCAAATTTTGTCTGTTGGCTCGAAAATTAGGGTTCATTTCCGGAAATATTAAAGAATATACAAGAAACAAGTGCAGAAAAATTTGGCCGAGAAAGTCTGGTGGTGAAAATGTTAACAATCCTTACAAATGTGCATAACATGTAGTATCAATCAAACAATAAGAACGCTTTGTTATAGCTCAAGGTATTAGAATTAAAAATCATTTAAAATTGAATTGAATTGGTCCAGTTATTTGTTGTTTTTGCTGACAAACACAAATATAACAAAAAACATTTAAAACATGAGCCAGAAATAAATACCTCTGTTTCAGAATTCCCCTGAACCCTTGGTGTTGCATCAAATACGCAGAAATTCCAACATCTTTTTCAAGTAGTCCTGAAGCTTGAAAATTGTCTTCCTGTTTATCACTCTTCTCTGAGGTTACACTGGATCCTGTACAAACTTTCTTTGAATGAGTTCTGTCGGTTTGTTCTTCTAAACTAGGTGAACCATCTCCTGTACTATTGGGTTTCGTACAAACTTTTTCCGGACTAGTCAAATCAGACTGTTCTTTTAAACTTGTTGTATTGCACTGATCTCCGATAATAGATTCTGTACAAACTTTTTTTGGACTGGGTACATCTGGTTGTTCTTGTAAACTGGTCGTACCGCACTGGTCTTCTACACTGGATTCTGTGCAAATTCTTTTTGGACTTGTGGCCTCCAACTGTTCCTCTGCTAATCGTTTTATTGTTTCCATGGCTGTAAATACAATTCATTGTCAATGTCATAGTCCCTGTTTGTAATATAGACATAGATAGATACATGTCCTGATATGTGTGTCAAGTTTAAACTTGATTGATCCAAGCATGTATGAGGTATGGTTCTGTAGAACCACATTCTTTTAAACATGTTTTTTTTTAAGAATTATGGCTATAAATTGAAATTATATTAATTCATGCATGGAATCAAATGGCATGGAAAGAATTTTTCAAATAATTTGACAGATTTTTCAGAACTGTTTTATGAAATGTCTTCTTTGTTTCTTCATCATTTTAATATTATCTTACAATCCTCAAACCACCTTTCCTTATTTTCAGAAGAAAAACAAATCAGGATATGCTCTTCATCTTTAAAAATACCATAATATTTTAACATCTGTCTTCAGGACTTCATGTTTTTCCTTCAATTTGCAGACACATAAATATAGCATTCTTTGTATACAAAGAATTAATAATAATATTAATAACTTTATTACTCTAATAAAAACCTTCAGGTTTTTTTTTGTATGGTAAGGAACATAAATACAGAGAAATATAAAAACGTACAATACAAAAGAGATAAAAATAAAATGTTAGTAAAATATAAGAAAAAATAGATTAATTACTTTCTGTGGTTTTAAAAATTGTGCTCTTCAAATATTTTGCTAAGGCTATATTATTCTTCATAATCTTTTTAAATATGGAGTTCACATTCATTGTGTAAATATTTATTGCACACTCATCAAACAGTTCTTTTCTTTGTTCTATATAGCCAGTAAAAAATATCAGGAAATGTTTTTCATATCCTAATCCTTCAGTGTTACATTTTTTAATAATTTTATGGAATTATTTGCAAAATTTGGTTTCCAATTCATCAATAAACATGTTTTAATGCTACAATTATAAAATTCATAATTTATATTGGGGTCTTGTGAGTATTATATGACATAATATATATATGGGAAATATATGATACAACATTCAAGTTTCGAGTTTTTCAGTGCATTCAAATGCTGGCAAATATTTTAGCTTTCCATTTGATTGTTTGAATTTCCGTTTCTAATTTTTGGAACAGCGTAGATTCGAAAAAGATTTCGGGATATGAACTAAACACGTATCCTCCTCCGAACGATGTAGTATGGCACTATAGAAGTGCACCCACATATCCCATACCTTGATATTGTCTACATAGCATCTACACGTGAGAAACGGCAGAAGTCAACACGCTGTATATCATTCGTGTGGAATGGCATTGTTAGTGCTTACATTCGTTTAATGCGCCATAGAAATTATGGAACAGAATGAAAAATAGCATATATTACAAGGGTACGAAACCAAAATTTAACGTAAAATACTAGTATTATCCCACGTACATACTTTATATCATCTGAATAATTTCATTATTGGTATATTTTGTGACGAATTCACGATCTAGAAACAATGTGCTGTTTACATCGTCTCGTTGTATGAGACAGCCACACAACTCAGTTGTTTTATTCAACTGAAAATATATGAACTAATGGAATGAAACTTCTTGCTCTTATAACATAACTAGGAATTACTATAAGAGTCACGAATTTAATGTAAATATTTTAAATATTATTATAATCGCTGCCTAACTGTATATGTCAGGATGGCCGAGCGGTCTAAGGCGCCAGACTCAAGACTGAAATGTCTTCCGTTCATATGAATGGATTTGATGGGCGTTCTGGTCTCCATATGGAGGCGTGGGTTCGAATCCCACTTCTGACATGTTTTTTTTTCTTCTCTTGATATATTTCCAAAATGTGGTCTACCACTTTCCTATTGTTAATGGCGCAATATTTTCGGAATTTGTTTTTTCTTTCACGACTACAAAAATATTGTGAAACAGTATAACCAGTAGCTAGTCACCGTCTCTAGAGGGCGTACTGAACGAGCAGCTACCCGGAGCCTGTGGCTGGGAATAACAAGCTTGCTGCTAGCTAAGGGACCATCACAAAGACTAAAGACCGGCACAAAAAGAGCCGAAGTTATTTTGTTGCGATCATTTCAGCATTGCTTGGTTCTTATTCCCCGCACTGTAACCAATTTATATTTAACACAAGGTAGGTCTTTCAAATAAAATTTTCAGTTATTTTCAATTCGAAATTCTTCGAGTCGAGTTACGAAAACATCGAGTTACAAAAATGACCACGCCCACTTTTGCGAAACCACGCCCAAATTATAACTCGACGATTAACAGTTACTGCAAAGTACTTTATTTTCACTTGAAATTTATTTTTGCTATTTCCAATAAAAGGATGAATAAGAGAAAATAAAATCCAGTGAAAATATTTTTTTCCTATATTTTACATTCAACTCATCTAAAATCAGTGAAAATAAACTTCATACAAAACAATAAAAATGTCTTTTCAGTGAAAATTAATTCCACACTTGTCTAAAATCAGTGAAAATAAATTCCATACAAAACACCCAAAAAGTCGTTTCAACAAAAATTAATTCCAGCTAAAATAAAGTATTTTACAGTATTTAGTTAAATCACATTGAGACTAAAATCTTGATTTGGCTGTAACAAAGAATCAATTCTAGTGAATAAATTCGTTTCATATGGAGTATGAACCTTTGAGAGACTAGTAATCAAGTCCAGGAAACTTCTAATTTTTATTTATTCTACCGTGGTAATTATTGATAAAAAAAAAAAAAACACATTGCTAATTAGAGTCCGTGTTTGGGCGATTTATAGCTCAGCGTTAAACTTGTCCGGGTATTGAGTTTGCCTACATATATGTCATTTCTATACTTGCAACCCGAGACGCAACATCATATTTTCTGATTGCTCTTGCCACAGTCCCTCTATCAAAGGGTCTATAGAGGGACTGTGCTAGGGACTGTGCTCTTGCAAATAAACTTGAAGTTAAAAATAAATGATTACAGACACCATTACAAATATACACGCGTTAAATAAAGAACGTGTGATTAGTCAGTCCATGCTATTAAGTATGCAAGGTTATACATCGTCATGTAGCTGAATGGGCCCGGGCATGTTATTGGCGAAGTCCGTTAGAGACAGCGGAAATGACATTACCCACAATACATCTGACGCATAACTGGGCATGCGCATAAGCCATGAATTTAGAAAAGTGGTGGTAAAAGTTTTTAACATGAGCTCCAGAGGACAGAGAAAAGGTACGTAAAATGCAAATTATTTGCGTTTTTTGTGGATCTTTAAAGTCTGACGTATCCATATTTAACCTTTGTTGCGACCTTTTCAGTTTTGTCTATTCAGGCGAGAAAAAGGAGAACGAAACCACCGAAGAATCGCATCAAGCCGGATGATAGACGTTCCAGCAAGAAAGCAAGGTAAAGTCAACATTTTTCATTCAATCATTGTTATGAACGATTATCGTGTTGGCATAATACTATTTTTTTAAGTAATACTGCTGTGTCTGACTCGCGATTAAATAGTTCTTCACCCAGTGTACTAACATATTCTATATTGATTGTGTTATCGATGTTCGCCGCTACGCAAAGAGGTTCCTCTCAACACATAAAAATACGATATTGTTGTGACCCAGATTGACACGATTGACGTTGCATTACATTTGTATTGTTAATGGTTCAACACTGTAAATATGTGTCGATAAGGCAGTTTATAACAGATCGCTCGACGTTTTAGTTGACAGGGTTGTTTGGGGGATGATTTAAACATAATTTAATCGCATTTAATACATGGCGTTAGTCATTTACATGTATTGATTACCATATTACGGGTCATCCACAATGTCTGTACGTTAATGAGGTTAGAATAAAGACTGTTACATTCTGAAAGTATAAATTCATTGTTAAGGTGTAATATAAATGCACTTTTATTCTTGTGCCTTGACTGTGTTTCATGTTTTTCCACTGTGCTCTTGTAGCTTCACTATTTGGATGCTAATAAGCAGACAGCGTGTTGACATGACGCCACATAGCCCTGGAATGTTCTTTTTTGACAATCATTGGCTGTTCATGCAGTTAGTGTATTGAGTATGAAATGCAGCAATGTTAATTTTGTAATTAAAATGTTGATATTATTATGCAACCCTATTCTACATTTAATGCTTGAACTGTATGTATGGGTATGCCCTTATTGGGTGGTGTTGAACTTCCCTGGAAAAATTAATGGTTGTACCACCAGCACCTCCAGACAGTCGTCTTTTTTAAAACAACCAAATTTGTGGAAAAGAAATATACTTTTTCAAACAATTTTGCAAAAAATGGTAGAATTTTTTCAGACAATGACATGGGTTATGAATATTACATGAGCTGTTTTTTCTGTCAGAATTAATCATTTTTGATGGTAAACAATATTTTTTTAGCATTTTATTAAGCTTTATATTTATAATTTTAGTAATGAATGATTGAAATTGTAGACCATTTTTTCCAGACACTTCGGCTCAAAAAAGTACCTGATTCTAGACACCTTGGTAGCACATATGTTCACAACTTACCAATTGAAGTATGACTACTCACTCACTCACTCACTCACTCACTCACTGGATAATTGTTTCATTGGAAAATATGTTCATGACACCAAATATAAAACTTTTACCTCATCAACAGGACAATTAGGAAGATAAGAGGTATAATTAGTATTGTTGAAAATGACGAAAATAAAAGTTTGTCATAATATGAAGATGAGCAATTGAGAAAGTAATTAATGTGGCACTAGTTTTTGGGGAGCAAAGCTAGGAGCCAAGGAGAAATTGTAGTAGTATCAGACTCACCTTATTTCGACCACAGATCGGAGACTTTTTTTTTTTTAGAATTTTTGATAATTTCACAAATAGATTCACACATTTGAATCAGTTCGTTGAGGGCAGTTCTAGTTAAGATTTTGTATGCATCTTATTTTTGGGGAAAAAAGAAATTATGTAGATTTTTTTTTTTGGAGTAGTGCTTTCTAATTGAAAAAAAATTGTGTGACACAATTCAATGCATGTTAAATTTGAGATCGGTTACGGTTAAATTCATCATCATGTGTGAATTCGTTGTAGTGAATAAATTAACAAACAAGTAGTGGTATTTACCAGTAATAAATTTACTGTTTACAAGAGTTTGTTATTGTTACACCAATTTACTAATACATGTAATATCACATATGTAACCAATAAAAAGTTGAAGAGCATGTGAAATAGGATCAGACAACTTATGCAGCAGAGAGTGAGCTTATTTCTTTGATTGAGTCCCTGTAACATCCAATTTCGTTCAGTTCAGTATATGAATAGAATTATTTAATTAAAGTGTCATGTTTGATACAACCCTATATAACATATACAGCACATAGTACAGCGTTTGTTTGTCACTATGTTCATGTTTTTCAAATCTCATAAAAATTAATTATTAACAATTTTTTTATCTTCATTCATAATACTATTCAAACAATCAACAAAGACATACTTGTATAATAGTAGGGAACAAACATGTTCGAATTTTTAAAAGATCATTTTTGTCTGAATGTTATTTAATTTTGGGGTGTATCACTGCAGTTTTGTGTGATTGTTGTCATAACTATTATTAGTAAATCCATGCAATTGTAACATATGTTCGCAAATGAGTCATGCCTCTGAACAAGTGTTATCCCCCACCCCAAGTATTGTGTCATTTTGTGTTAAGCTTTTATGACATTTTTAGCAGGTCACCATACCACAGTAATTTCAAGTCCCTGGTCTTGTGCCTTGTTAGCAGCTTGGATGACTAGTTTAATTTTAGGAAAGATTTCCTTTTGTATCCCCTAACCCTAATCCTAACTTTAACCCTACCCCCTCAATTAAATTGTATATGCCCCCTCTAGATAACTAGGTGTCCTTAAGAAGGACATGTACATTTAAATTGGGGAAGGGTAGATTTAGGGTTTTGGGTGGATGTATAAATATTATCATCAAAATCAATTCTAACAGTACTTTTCAGCGTTAAGATTTGATTGTAGTTCAAATTTTATATTACTGAGTGCATGGGTTATTGGAGAAAAACATTTTTTGAATATAGTGGGAAAATATTATCACATTGGAAACTGACTTAATAATTAAATGTAAATTATTTGCAAATTAATATTCACATTGGAATCTCACTAAAATTGTATTCATAACAATATACAACTTTTTCAGCCCCCTGAGCAATATTTTGAGATTTGAAGAAGAAATGATGCAAAAAACAAAGACAAAATGCAATTTTCATTTTTTTTTTCATTTTTTGCATCCTAAAGAATACATATATTGAAAAGTAAAAAATAAATAGCAGTAATTAAATCTTGAAGATATTCCTGCCACCATTGAATATCTTGACCTCAAAGTTCAACCTTTATAAAATTTCTATTAGCTATCTCACTGAAATTGATATTTCATATGTTTTTGAATTCGTAACATATTCTCAGTAATGAGTGTTAGTATATGCAAGACGTACTGTCCCGTTTCTTGCATGTGCATTGTAACTATCAATTAAGTAGCTAATTGTTATAAACGTAGGGGCTGATTACAGATGCTTTCACCAGCAAGGATAGCTTGTACAGCGAACCAAGACTCTGTTATCCAATATTAGGTTCAACAGTGCAGAATCATTTAATATGCAAATTTACTGCTAATATCAAGTTACATTATGCATGTACAAAATATTGATTTTAACAATATATAAAACTATTCTGGAAGGTTATTAAAACAGGATTGTTTGAGCCATAATAAAAACCATTATGACTAGCTTAAAGATTTTTATATACTGTACTCGACCGCGTTAGCGCCCAGGGGCCTCAACTCAGAAAATCGTGATTTTTTAGGGGTGGTCGCTACCCGAGCACCCCCCTCGAAAAAGAGTGCAAATGAAAAATTTGATTCATCAAGTGACAGATTACGTCTTTGAGAGAAATCAAATTACGAAATTAGTTGAGTCGTCATTGATTTTCATAATGAAGAAACAGAAATGATCACAAAAAATATGCACATTTTATTACAATATTAATTACGTACCACCAGAATTTACGAAATTAAAAACATTTGAGTCTGTTGGAACACAGTCGAAGTCAAAATTGTCATATTATCTCCACTGACGAAGGTGTTGGATCGTATGCAAACTCTCGATAAAAATCACTTTCCGCCATGATGCATTTGCAGATTTCACCTGCAGCGGCGTCCTTTGACCTAATGGGTCAAGTTGGTTATTAACCAATCACAATGTCTTCCCAAAGACTTTCCGGTAACGCAATGTGGAAGTGAATTATCGATGTCGAAGTACGATCTGTTGGAATTGATTTCAGCGAATAAACGACATAGTTTTTCCAAAAAACTAGTAACTAGCCATTTTTGAGAGGTAAACTGTATATGGCATGAAACATTTTCCGCTTTTTACTTGTATTAACAGGTCATTGTCAAAGCGTAGTTTACGCACGGTTACTGTGTTCTACGCATTCACAACATGTTCACAGCAGTCGATATCCACGCTGTATCATCCAAAAACGATTACCAAGATTCGTTACGCAAGACCAAGTTTTAAATTAGTTGCATTTTGAAAGGGTGGCGCTTTGCCGGATGTGACCCAAATATAAAAATTGTGCAAAAGTGGGGGTGGGCGCTTGCCCTGGCATGGGCGTTAACGCGGGCGAGTACGGTATAATCAAGAATTTACAACAGAGATAATAAACAATGAGTGACTTGGATATTAAATCAGGAATAACTTAAACTACTGACTGAGTGACTCACTCACTCACTTACTGACAATTGTACATTATTTTTACACATGTGCAAGATTTTTTCAGCAATTCACCACTCTCAAATAAAATGTTGTAATAACAGTACATCACCAGTGTTATAAATATTCACTGATTGCACTATATGTTTGTTTTGTGTTTTTGTAGTTTTGAGCAGCATGGTGCCGTACCGCAGCACGTTACTCCTGACGACCAGGACAGAGATTATGACGAAGATGACGATGAAGAAGAAGAAGTCTTAGGCTCTGATGACGAGGAACAAGAGGATCCAAAAGATTATTGCAAAGGTAAATAATTGTTTAGTAATACGTTTATTTATTTATTGCCACATCTCTGAATTAGCAAAGTACAGCAGTAAGGACACACTAGAAATACAAAACAATAAAAAAGTAACTAACAGTAAAAGATAAAAAATTGCATACAAGTTACCAAATTACATTTACAAATTTTGGTTTTATTTTTTGTGCATTGTTTAAAAAAATTGTGGTTTTGCTAAGCGAACAAGAGGTCTTGCTGTCTCAGTCAAGTTTGTTTTTATAAATTTGGCCAATGCAATATTCATGACAATGTTTTTATTTTGGATTATCATTATAAATTTGTTCCCTTTTGTTGTCAAATTTGTGAAATCATTTATTTGCTTTCTGGCTTTCTCATATAATTTCTTTCTTTGATCATTATATAAAGGGCGTACAAAGTTGTTATAAAATGGTACTCGTCTTCTACTTCATTCTTTGAGCAAAGATTACAGATTCTTTTTTAGCTCCGCTGTCATCACAGATGACCCAGTGGAGCTGTTGGTATGGGGGTCTCTCCTGCGTCCCATGTCCTGCCTGTTGTTTTCCTTTAAATGACTTCTTTTCTTCAAAAGAACTTGACGAATTACATTCATATTTGTACTAAAGGTACTTAGGGTGATCCTCTGTCGGATTTGTAAAATTCATCTCAAAATATGCAAATTTGGATTTTTAGTGAATATTTTTGTCATTTTGGGTAAAAAATGTTATTTTCGACAACTAGTCCAAAACCGTAAGTCCAAATGCTTTCATATTTCCAGCAATGGTACTTGGGGTGGTCCTCTGTCAGATTTGTTAAATTGGTGTCAAAATATGCAAATTTGAATTTTTAGCGAACATTTTTCTCATTGTTGGTAAAAAATATTATTTTTGACAAAAAGTTCAAAACTGTAAGCCCTATTTACAGAGGGCTTTCAACTAAATATAAAACATAATACAACTTTAAAGTATACTTTGAATATGTAATAGCACAAGTGAGTTAAGTAACTGGTATTTTTGATGACAAATGCGATGATTATTCTGCTTATATCAGGTCCCTTAAATTGCACACATAATAATTCGACCGTCAGGTCGCTTGCTTTATTTGTAATTTTGGTTTAATACTACAGTGTCTGCTCATGTATAAATCATGTAAACTTTGATAGATGCTCTTCATTTTGTTTGGAAAAGTAAATAAAGTACTGGTATACCTGTAATTGCATTGCCGGGTCAGGATCAGGGGGTCAAGTAATTAATTATAAGCTAATTAACCTTTAAATTTGTTTCATTCCCAGTGTTCTTAAATACTGGTAATGTCATCATTTTGATGAATGTGCATTCTTTGTGTTCATGACAACCACAACATACTGGTGTCAGGTATTTCTCGATGTC